AGAGAGAGAGAGAGAGAGAGAGAGAGAGAGAGAGAGAGAGAGAGAGAGAGAGATGCATTAGTTGTGCTGTAAGCAGCAAATCACATTGCCTTGTGAACCAAAAAGGGCTTGATGACTGGAAACAGGAATGAGTAGCTGCTCTTTAACAATTCCACATATAACAAGCATATGAGCCAACATGTGACCAAATTAATGCAAGTCTTAAGTATAAGAATTCAATGGCTTCTGGTTTAGTTGTTGGTGAATTTTGGCTTCTTTCATGCAAAACATCCATTTGCTACAGTGCAATGGAGTTCCCTTGCCTTTTATTATGCCATCTCTTTTTCATGCCATCAGTTCTATCACCCATTAGAAAGGAGGTGTTCCTCATGAATTAAGCTCACAACCCACAGTTAGACTTCACCTATCCCATATATGCTGTACCAATATGATGTAATTATAGAGACAACCTCTCTTGCGAAGCCTCTTCTTACCAGTATCACATGATATCCCAATGCTTTTAAATGCCTCATTTTCACTGCCAGGTTCCCTCGGGGACACATGTCCAAACAAAAAGAATTTCGAGAAGCACAGAGAAAAACGACTCTGTAACAAAGGAGAAGGGTAATAGTCTTTAAAGCAGTACAGAAAACTATTGCACTGATGCAATTCAAGTGTTCTTCAAAAGCTGACTGTTGAGTGACTACAATTAGTACTACAGAATACTGCTGATATGATTATTGCCATTATTGTGCCCATTTTTCATTTAATCATTTCTTTCCACCTCCAGACTTGACAAGCCCCACTAGAATAAGGTACATGCAGGTGTAGAGGTCCATCCAAAATAGCCAAATTCTTAAACCACTGTTTATTCTAGAAAGGCTCAAATTACAATTATGTAAAATAGATGTTTCATCTGCATGATATTCATATCCTGCTTGTTTCCCTTCATTTATTTTTTACTACTTGCCATAGAAGCCCCTTTCCTGTCTGGAAGGTGCATAGAAGACCTGCGCTTTAATAGCAGGATAAGGAGCATTGGTGCAAAGGTCACCAACTCTTCTTTTCCTGAAAGGCAAAGGGAAATTCTTCACCCCTTTGCAGGAACCCAACACAAGGTTTACATGGCACATAAATCTCACTTAAGCTTTCCCAACAGCACTGACAGATTTTCAGCACAGAATTAACCTGGTCTCCACTGAGACTCATTAGTGTGCAATTATTGCTACAGGATGCTGTTGAGGTCAGGACTTTAATTCTGCATTTTCTTTTAGAAATATTCAAAGTGGATGACAAATGCATCCAGAGATGTAAGAGTCAATGAAAAAAAGGAGGGATTCAAAACCTCATACTTCATGGCTTAACCCAGAGGTTTCACACTCACTTGCCCTCCTGGGCCATATCCAGACCCTGAGGAGCCTTGCAACCCAGATCCAGACCTACCTCCAGCAGCAAAGAGAGTGGCAGCAGCATTAACTGCTGCAGCTATCTTAGTCACTTCATTGGCACAGAGCCACAGGGGTTAATGCAGCCATCATTCGTCTTACAGCTGCCAAAATGCACCCCCAATGGGGCTCCATACCCCAGAATTCAGCAGTGGGCCCTGCCCTTGAATTATTGGCAACTCCCTTAGCAACCCCACTGGCCAGATGAGAGGGTTTCACAAGCCAGACCCAGCCTGTAGTCCATGTGTTTTAACACCCCTAGCTTAACCTGATCTCCCATTATCAGGGAAAGAGTGCAAGAGATTTATAGGGAAAGATCACCCCACCTATCTGCCATGAGATTGTTTATACCTTTTTCTGAAGATTGGTGCTGGCCTCCCATTGGCTGCAAGCCTTGGTCCAGATGGACCATTGATCTTAGTTTCATAGTTTGTAGGGTCGGAAGGGACCTGAGCAGATCATCAAGTCCGACCCCCTGCCTTGGCAGGAAAAAGTACTGGGGTCAAACGACCCCAGCAAGGTTTTCGTCTAGCCTCGTCTTAAAGACCCCCAGGGTAGGAGCCAGCACCACTTCACTTGGAAGTTGGTTCCAGATCCTAGCCGCCCTGACAGTGCAGTAGCGCCTCCTGATGTCTAGTCTGAATCTGCCCTCTGCCAGCTTGTGACTTATTTCTAGTCACTCCTGGTAGTGCTTGGGGAACAGGGACTCCCCCAGTAACTGCTGGTCCCCTCTAACTAGTTTATAATAGGCCACTAGATCTCCCCATAGCCTTCTCTTGCAGAGGCTGAACAAGTTCAGGTCCCGTAGCCTCTCCTCATAGGGCCTGCTCTGCTGCCTCCTGATCATGCGAGTGGCCCTCCTCTGGCCCCTCTCCATGTTGTCCACATCCCTCTTGAAGTGCGGC